GATAAACAAGATTACCCAAATTAACCAAAAGAGAGACCTGAATCTATGCCTTTAGAGATGAAAATGCAGGTGTTACAATAAACACCACTGAAATCCAGAGAATTATCAGGGACCATTTTGAAAATCTATATTCCAATAAATTGGAGAATCTAGAAGAAATGAATTGATTTCTAGACATTTATGTAATCTACGAAAACTGAACCAAGAAGATACGAAAACCTAAATAGATCAATAACAATCAATGAGATTGAAGCAGTAATAAAATTCTCTCAACAAAGCAAAGCTCAAGATAGGTTCACTGCTAAATTTTACCAAACCTTTAAAGAAGTAACAGCAGTACTTCTGAAATTACTCCATGAAATAGAAAGGAAAAGAGCACTTCCAATTTCTTCCTTGAGGTCAGCATTACCCTGATACCAAAACCGCACAAGCCTTCACTGAAAAAGAAAACTATAGGCCAATATCCTTGATAAACATAGGTGCAGAAATACTTAATTAAATGCCCACAAATTAAATTCAGTAACACATTAAAAAGATCATACGCCACGATCAAACTGGGATCCACAGATGCTTCAACATATACAAATCACCACATAAATAGAATCAAAGCTAAAAATCACATTATCATCTCAGTTGACTCAGAAATTCAATAACCTTTCATGATAAAAGCTCTCAAGAAACTAGATACTGAGGGATCACATTTCAATATATTAAAGGTTCTATATGACAAATCCACAGCCAACATCATTCTGAGTGGGGAAAAACTGAAATCATTTTCTCTAACATTGGGACACAAGGTAAGGATGTCACCACTCCCATTCAGTAAAGCACCTGAAATTTTAGCCAGAACAATTAGACGAGAGAAAGAAATAAACCATGGACAAATAGGAAAGGAAGAAGTCAAATTATCTTTGTTTGCAGATGACATGAATTTATACTTGGATGACTCTAAAAATTCCACCAAAAGTCTTTTTTTTAGAGCTGATAAGTAAATTCAGCAAAGTTGTGGGATATAAAGTCCACATTAAAAGTCAATAGCTTCTATAAACCATTAATGAAGAAGTTGAGAAAGAAATCAGGAAAACAATTTCATTAACAATAATCCCCCCAAAACCAAGTCAAACCAAAACAAAACCAACCAACAAACAAACCAACCAACCCTAGGGATCAATTTAACCAAGAGGATAAAAGAATTCTACAATGAAAATTTTAGAAAACTGAAGAAAGAAATTTAAGAAGATACTAGGAGATGAAAATAATTTCCATTTCCATGTATCAGTGGGATTAATGTTAAAATGGCTATATTACTAAAAGTGATGTACATATTCAATGATCTACAGACTCAATGCAATCCCTATCATAATACCTGCAATCCCCATCATAGTAAATGCAAAACTGATCTGCAGACTCAATGCAATGCCCATCATTATTCTGCAAATAATATTCACAGAACTAGAAAAATTAATCCTAAAATTCATATGGAAACACAAAAGACCCAGAATAGTCAAAGCAACACTAAGCAAAAAGGAGCAAGGCTGGAAGCATCACAATACCCAATTTCAAAGTACATTACAAAGCCATAGTAGCAAAAACAGCATGGTATTGGTGGAAAAATACACATGCAAATGAATGTAACAGACTACAGGACACAGGAGAAACAAAAAAAGATGTAACTACAACCTTCTTATTTTGGACAAAGGAGCCACAAATATGTTGGAGAAAAGACAGCCTTTTTAATAAAAGATACTGAGGAAACTGGATATCCACCTCTAAAAGATTAAAACTAGATCCCTATCTCTTATCTTCTACAAAGTTAATTCAAAATCAATCAAAGACCCAAGCATATAACCTGAATCTTTGAAACTACTAAAAGCGAACATAAGGAAAATACTTAAAGATATAGGCACAGGCAAAAACTTCCTGAATAGGATACCAGTAGCATAGACAGCAACAGCAAAAATCAACAAATGGGACTACATCAAATTAAAAAAATTCTGTGCAGCAAGGGGAACAAATAACAAGCACAGAGACAACCTAGAGAAAAGTAGTAAATGTTCTCCAGCTACTCTTCTAACAGAGGGTTAGCATGTAGAATATATACAGAACTCAAAAATACAAAAAAAATCAAATTACCTAAGCAATTAGACCAATGAATTGAACAGACACACTTGTCAGCAGAAAAAGTACAAATGTCCAATAAGTATATGAAAGAATGTTTGACATCTGCAGCCATTAGGGAAATGTAAATCAAAACTACATTGATATTCTATCTCAACCTGGCCAAAATGGTTACCATCAAGAATACAAAAAATAATAAATGCTGGTGTGGATCTCGAGGAAAAAGAACACTTTTACACTGCTAGTGGGAATGTAAATTAGTACAGCCACTATGGAAATCAGTATGAAGGCCCTTCAAAAAATTAAAAATAGAACCACCATTTGATCCAGCTATACTACTCTGTGGTATATACCCAAAGTCATTAAAGTCAGCATACTATTGGGGTATCTGCATAGCATGTTTATTGTGGCATAATATTCAACAGCCAAGATGTGGAACCAGCCTAGGTGCCCATGAAAAGATGAATGGCTAAAAAAAAAAAATGTGGTATACATACATTGGAATATTACTTGGCAGTAATGAAGAATGAAATTTTCTCATTTGCAGGAAAATGGGTGGAGCTGGAGATCATCATGTTGACTCAGATAACTATTGCATGTTCTTCCTAATATGTGTGATCTTACAAAGATGACATGAAAGTAGAGGGAGACTGTTAGACAGAGGGACGGAACATAGGGAGGGGTGTGAGGGGGGTGGGGGAATGGATATGATCAAAATACATATGCTTTGAAATCAATGTTTTGTAAGATTGATAGGCACTAACAATGAAAGGAAAAACAAAAAGAAATATAGGAGAATAAAGATAAGATTACCACATGTCAAAAAAGAAGGTGTAAATGTGAGAAAAAGTAGCAAAAGGAAATCCTAACGATGACAAAGCTCTTTGGCAGGAGATATAAGACAAAGATTTGCAGCATATTGACTATTTAGAGACAACAAAACCCTGGGCTTTTACAGTCAAATCAATCCTAAAACTCTAAACCTTAAAATACGCAGCCCCAACTTTCTATAGGTCAAATTACCATTTATTTTATGGTAATTTTTATAGTGCCAAAGCAAATAAACTAAATCATTTGTTTATTTCAAATGTTTGTGATGAATTCAGAAAGTGTATTTTGCATCTTAAAAATTTCTTTGTCATTGAAAAAGCATTTTTAAAAACCCAAATGGATAAGCTAAGTTGCTGGCATTTGTAAAGATATAATTCAATTTTTTTCATAAATCTGTTACTTAGAAGCTTGACTGTCATGATTTCTTATTCCTCTAAATTTGTTTCAAGAATGTTTCCAAGGTGATGAAAAAACATTAATTGCTTTCCTGTACTTTTAGTAAATTTAATATCACATGTAAGGTAGTTTTAGCAATTTAATCCTGTAGCCAAAGGAAATTAGAAATGAAAATACTGACTAGTATAATTAATGACATATATGTGTAGGGGAACACAGGTTGAGGGATAAACTTGATCATTGTGCTGCTGTTCAGACATATGCAGGAATCAGACAGTGAGAAGGGGTAGTTAGAAGTTTGGGGGGATTCTAGGAACCCTTTTTAGAAATGTCTGATAAAATGAGCTCAAGTTATGAATAAAAAACCTTATTCTTTGGCAGGAAATATGCATTTTGAAAACTGGAGGACTAATTTGCTGGTAATCCTGACTCCTGAGTGGATAGTTGGAAAAAAACCTTTAGATAAAACAGAGCCACCTATTTATCTGCAAATGTGGTGGCACAGTCTGGCACTGGGAAATAAACAAATAGCGCTGGGACCTCTATCAGGGGTCATACCATGGAGAAAGACTGCCATTCTCGCCTATTGCAGGGGGTCATATGGCCTGAAGACGTGATCCCTTACGTTTGGGGTGAATCAACACAAAGGTTTGGAGGTTGCCATCCCGGCATGGCAGGCTGCTGCCTCCAGAGTGGAGTCCACTTCTGGAAACTGCATAGCAGCCTCAGAGTCTGCTGGGCTCAGGATGGTGGAGAAGGACCTTATCATAGTATACTGTACCCAGAAACAAGGGCAGGATGGCAGCACAAGCTTGTAGACCACTGTGATTCCTCAGGAAGACAGCACACGTAGGACATGCTTAGGAACTCCAATAAGTGCTTGGGCTGGGAATAGTCTACAGGAGTTGATGTGCTCCACCTTACCATGTGGGAGCCCATGTCAGTAAAGCATGGCTAAACCACTTATGGGTCTCATGCATTTTTATTAATAAGGATGGAGGAAATTTGGATGTATATTATGAAGTACTATGTATGGTTCTCTGACTCTAAATCCAAAAAGTATGGTTTCTGACAGATCTGGACCAAAGGAAAAAGGTCAAAACAAGGTAAATATTTTGTGTGAACTAACTTGACCTGCGTTTTCATTCAAATGTTGGAACAACTAACAGAGATGTCCCAATTTCATTTTTTTAGTAGTATTATTTAATACATTTGTAAGTCACTCTCAAATGATATTCATACTTAAAAAGTCATTAGATGTTTCCTGCTGTTTCCTTTTTTTTGCTATGGAAAGCAAAAGGAGAAGAGCTTTTCTGTCTAACCCTGACAACGGCAGGGACAACCTCTCCACAGCTGGTAGACAAGATGACCAGGAGCACAGGAGACACAGTTCTCCAGACTGAAAAATGTAGAGGTGGAAAGCAGCTTACAGCTCATCTAATGGGTCCAGATACTTCATCTGCCAAGTGAAGGGACATTGACTCAGCCAGCCCAACTGACCTTACACCTGTTTACAAGTCAACTCGTAGCAAAGCAGAAAATCAAGGATGCCCCTCCATGCTTTAGATCTCATTTTCCACAGATCAAGTATGTTTCATGAGAACACTTTTAAGCAACTCTTAACACATGTCCCCAAGCTCAGGCTTGCACTGTACCTTGCAGTATGCTCTTTACTATAACTTCTGTGTGATCAGCAAGGAGCTCCGCCTTGGTAATCGCAGCCAGGGACAGGTAGTTAGACATGTTCCGGCACAGCTCCTTGTTGCCTCTGCGCAGGAATTTCACTGCAATGGGGATGGCTAACACCATCACAGGGGGCCGGTTATAATTCTGAGGAAGTATAAGAAAGCAACAAATAAGTGATTCATTATTCACTCACTTACTCATTTCTCCAAAAACATTTACTGAGCTAAGCTTCCAGAATACAGTTGTGAAAAGGCAGGCTCTGCCTTGCATACATTCTGTCTGGGAACTGTTGGTCTTGTTTGGGAGACTTCGAGGCAAATAGGCAGTTAAAAGCAAAAGCTGGTAAGGGCCATGGCAGGCAAAGTACAAAGTGCTAATGGAGTCAAGAAGCATCTAACCCAGCCGGCAGTGTCAAGAAAGACTTCCTGGAGGAGGTGATGTCTTACCTGAGTCCGAAGGAATGAAAAGGAGATGGCTGGGAATGGCAATGTAAGGAGTAGAGAAGAAGAGCCAGTGTGGAGGCACAGAGGAGAGGGAGCACTTGAAGCATTTGGGGAGTGGTAAACAGTTCATAATTGCTGGAGAGTGGTATGTGAGGGGACACTGGAGTGGGGAGGGGAGGGGAGGGACAGGAGAAGCACATAGGGGCATGCTTATGAAAAGCCCGGTATGCAAGGTTAAGGACTTTCAAATTAATCTTAAGGGCCATTAGGAGTCATTGAGGAGAGGAGCAACTCCACAGATTTACACCTGCAGAAATAACCAAATGAACGGAATGTGAAACTGGTTGCTTTCTGTTTGTATTTTAAAAACTGCAGTATTTTTTTTTGAATCAGTTGAGGATGAATGAAGAAAATGTGCCATAATACACACAGTGCAATACTTAGTTGGCTATAACAAAAAGAGATCAAACACAGTCATGAAGGCAGAGTAAGTTTTAATGTGCTGCACCGTAGAAGGGTGGCTAGAGTTTGCAACAATTTATTGTAGGTCTTATTAAGAACTAGAGAGAGGAGACTGAAGTTTCCAACACAAAGAAATCACACATACTTAAGGAGAGGAAAATGCTAATTATCCTTGTTTGATCATTACATATTACATGCATGTGCTGAATTATCACACTGCACCCCAGCAATAGGTACAATTATTAGGTGTCAACTTAAAAAGCCAAGGGCTGGGGTTATACCTCAGTGGCACAAACGCCTGCCTGTGCGAGGTCTTGAGTTTGATCCCTGGTACCAAAAAAAAAAAAAAAAACAAGCCAAGAAAATTCCTAAGATTTTAAAACTAATGAGAACCACAAGGAAAAATACAGTATGAACATAAGATAAGAAACTGAAGGAATTATGGATCCTAAAATAATGCTTAACTTATTTTGTGACTGAACTAAAAATCTTTATACATAAAATATTATGTCAACATTTAGAATAATATGTGGAAGATACAAATCATTTTCTTAAAAATGAATAGAAAATGTTCACTACTTTCAGCCCCACACCTTATGCTTGCTCTAGGCAAAAGTTACACATTGCACAATATATTCGGAAATTCACTTCATAATATATTATAAATACATAGGAATGTTGTTCTCTGATTGTTCATGGAAAATGTACTTATCTTTCCACCCATGGATTATTCCTTCCAGTACCTCCCACAATTCTGGAATTATGGTAGGTCCTTAGTAAATAACTGAGACGTTGAATCATGATAAAATATAAATCTATGGTGACAGTTGTCTATGGGAACATAATGTGGTGGAAAAAGAAACAGAAAATGGGAAAATATGACTCTGGATTCTAATCTCAGCTCCACTACCATCTTGCTTGTGGTCACGGAGACATCACCCAGTTCTCTAGGTCTCACTTGTAAAGTGATTATCACCCTCTTTGTCAACCCAACAATCTCTGATAAAAAGATCCTAAAACAGACATGAAATCAACTGCCTAGCACAGGAAGGCTTTGCAGGCTACTGAGGGGCCACTGACCTTGTAACAAGGGCCACGTAATGATTTGATGATCCTTATCCAAATGGAGGTAAACATTTAGATAATCACTATCTAGATTTAATCTGCTATTGTTATGGTTCCTCCCTCCTCCTCCAAATCTCAGCATTATTAGTTTCCTGCCTGATGTCTACACATCCTTTTTCTGGAGACTCCACCCTAATGCCTTTTTGGGGAACTGTCGAGGTGCTTCTAATGACAGCATTTCCACCTTGGTTTCAAGAGTAATTCAGTGTCCTAGACAGTAGCCTGACAGAGAATCACATTTCCCTGGTCCAAGTGATGGGTTCAAGGGCAGGCAAGTTATTAAATTATAATTAAGGAGTCATGAAAAGGCTCTGTGAAAGGAATTCTCCTCTCCACCCCTCTCTCTTGCTGGATTCAGGTGTCAAGAAGGGTTAAGAATAGCTGTTGCCATCCTGTAACTTTAGTAGGCAAAAACCTATAAGAAACTTCAAGAAACATGGATCTGAGAGATCAGTTTAGAGAAATCAGGTGCAGGCCTTGGTGATATCATTTAAGCTTCACATTCTAAGTTATGCTGGGGACCTGTTCTTTCCCTAAATAAACCAAATAAATCTCTCATGCTTAAGCTCCCCTCTTCCTCTGTCACTAGAAACAAAAATATACCTGATAAATCTTTAATCTATTCCTGTACTTTTATCCATTTTCCAGACCCATAGGTCAACCTGACCCCTAGAGGGAGAAAATAGGTATTCTACAACCTAACTTGATATCCCACTATTAATGACATAAGTCAGCCATTTTGCAAGCTCTAACCCTATCCTTGATGACAAATCATGTTCTATTCAGGGGATCTCTGTTTCATACATCTTAAAATTCTTAACACAAAGGATTAGGACTGTGGTCTAGAGTCAGACTTACCTGATGACTTTTCTGAATGCCTTTGTTACATTGTTTCCCCTCATGCTGAATTAAGTTGAGCTTATTGGGCAGGCCATTATGGATGTGATGAGCTATAAGGTCTTCCCAGAAGGCCGGTTGCTCCCCTCTCCCAGGAAACTGGGCATGTGCCTGGTCATACCACAGAATTGTTTGGCTCTCTGGAGGCTAGCCCACATCACAGAATTTCCAAAAGGCTGGTGCATAACAGTCATCCACAGTGGGAGATTTTTCTAGGTCAGACCTTGGGCATCCTTTTCACATCATCAGGATACCAAGAAGCCAAGCTAGAAACCCGAGTGTTCACTCATGGGCACACAATCAATCAGGACAAAGAGATACTGAGGGATAGCTCATCTGGGCTATGGTGATTAAAATGGCAGTCCTGCCCTGCAACTGAATCTCCATCTCTAGTGACCAGAACTTTCCACTCATCAAATTCAATCTCTATGCCTCCTCCAGTACCACTGAGTAAACCTGAAAATAATGATCCCACACATAGCATCCTCCTTTGGTTAACATACTGCTCAGATACTGGTGTGTAAGGAGGCTAATTAACTTGCCCTTTTTCTCAGTTCTTTCCTATCTCTGCTCCCTTGAGGCTACATTGAGGTTATTTCGATAAGACCACTTAGCTTCACCTTGGATTGCTCCTATGGCAAGCTAATTTTTCCATTACATATAAATTTTTAGTAGTTTAACTTTTTTTTCTGGTAATGGGTCTTGTAGATAATAGCAAGGGCTCTACCACCAAGCTACATCCTCAGTCCTTTTTTATTTGTTTGTTTTATTTCATTTCGTTTTAAATTTTGAGACAGGGTCTCACTATGTTGCTCAGGTTGGTCTCAAACTTTCAATCCTTCTGCTTTAGGCTCCCGAGTGCCTAGGGCTACAGGCATGGGTGATTATTCCTGGCAGTGTTTCCATCTAGAATGACTGGTGAAAGCCCTTGCTTTGCAAGTGGAGCATAATCACACAATTGTTCTCAGAACTTTCCATCAAAGAACTCCATGCCGAAGTTTACCTTATCTACTGTGGGTCTTTTGCCAAGAACAAGTTTCAGGCAGAGAGATACATGTTTTCCATTAGAGGACTTTGTCTCCGAGCGCATTTACCTTCAACTTGTTGAAAAACCAAAGGCGGTAGCAATAAGAAGTATATCCTCCTAACTGAGCATAGACAAGCACAGGAAACGATCAATAGAAATCAGTATTCTCAGCAAGTGATGTGTTTAAACCTCGGGATGAGTTAGTGACTGCCAGCAACAATGAAAGAACAGGTTTTCTCTTCTAATTAGCTTACATTCTTTTCAGAGCAATTCTAGATATTCTGGAGAAAAATAGCCATCAGCTATTGAAGCCTCTCAAGTGATGTTGCAAGAGAAATGAATGAAATCCCCTCCCGCAAACGTATAAGGTCATTATTTTTAAAAACAAACGTTAACATGTTTGATTTTTCTGTTTTCTTCCCAAACATGCTATTTGAAAGTCTCTCAAATGACACAAAAAGTGAAACATTAAGCCAAGAGAAATTAGTTTGTATAAACATGAGGGACTCGACACCACAGGATTTCAGTGTCCCAGCAGTCCCTGGCATATCATGAGGCTTGGGCATCGCTGAAGGCAACAGGATGTGAACAAGGGGCTATGTGGCCAAGATGAGGCTCAAGAGAGAGGTTCTCATGGACCTCACAGAGAACAAACAGCTTCTTCTGCTCGCTGTACTTTGCCCTCCAATGCAGCTAAAGAAGTGGTGAATGCAGTCGATCTTAGGCTCATGAAATTATTTTATCCCTAAAATTATTTGGATCACAGAAATGCTAATGGAACACAAAGAAAGCCCTGTTGTTATAGTCTTACAAATAAACCACTTTAACAGCATCTGATAATGCTAGAGGCTGTGCCAGACCTGGCCCCTCAGCGCAGACGTGGGCATGTTGGTATGAATATCGTCTTACACATAGTTCAGCGCTCAGGGAGCAGAGCGAGTGAAGTGCGTTATAGACCTAAAGCCTTGCTCATGGGGACAGTTATATTTAGCTATAGAGGTAAAACAAGGGGGCCTTGTCCCATGGATGCCAAGAACGATATTTCTAACTAGGTTAGCACTAGTTTAAGCTTTTGCTGGAGATTTTCTTTTGAAAACGCCCTTCGGGAATGTTTCCCAGTATTTAAAAATGGAAAGAAGAAAGCAAAGTAGAGGAGATATCTATCTGAGGTGAATAGCAACTAAAAAGCTCTTTGACTCTCAGGTCCTGGATACAACAAAAGAACTATAAAAATGATTAAGATCAAGAAATATTAAACTTCATTTATTAAGGGAGGGTTCTTTGGTTATTCATCCAGCATCACCAGTCAGTCAAACTAATTTTGGATTTTCGTGAACAGTGTTTAATTCTTACTGCGTAGCTATATGTAGAATCTATTTGGCATGTGCACCTACATTTTCCCAGTGGATTTTCTGGCAGGTAATAGGGAAGCGGGTGTCGGCAGCTGAAGGTGGAGATTGTCCCAGCCTCCTCCCATTTCATACCACTGTCTGAGGACTGAATTCTGAAGCCTACTCTGTTTTTTGTTTTTTGTTTTTCTTTTTTTTGGTGTTTGTCTGGTACCGGGAACCAAACTCACGACCTTGCGCTTGCCAGGCAGGCGCTTTGCCACTGAGCTAAATCCCCGGCCCCCTGAAGCCTACTCTGGAGTGTAGTGAGGCTGCTGGAGAAGCCAGAGGACAATCTTCTGAGACCGTTCGTTCAACCCTTTGATGAGTATTATTTGAGCACCTGTTATATTCTATGTAGCAATTTGTACTGTGCGAACACTTCGTGCCATATCACCTTTCACCCCTACAGCAATTTTGGGAAGTAAGTATCACTCTCCCTGTTTTACATATGGCAGAATAGAGAGTCAGAAAAAAGAAATGACTTGCCAGTGTCTCGTGTATATAAGAACAAGATTCCTAAGCTTTGAGGGCTTTAAACTCTAAAGTTCTTTGCTATTGTGCCATTTAGCAGCTCCTGAGGGAATCAGAATTTCAGACAGGGAGATGGGCGGTGATCCGATTTGATTCTTTGTTTTACACAGGGCAAGTTGAGAGATATGTCTGCGGGCACATGACGAGTTGGTAGAAGCAAACCGGCCACAGGGAGAACAAAATAAGAAACCACCAAAAAACCAGAGCATACATCTGACTCCTGCATGCACATACTGATTCAGTACTGAGGGAACAGTAGAAGGTAATTCTGCACTTTAAAGTTATTTTAGTGCCGGGCATGGTGGCGCACGCCTGTCATCCCAGCACTTGGGAGGCTGAGGCAGAAGGATCGTTGTGAGTTCAAGGCCAGCCTGGGCTACATAAGTGAGCTCAAAGCAAGCCTGAACTGCACAGCAAGACCCTGTCTCAAAAAGACAAAAAAAAAAAAGTTATTTTAAGGTAAATGTGCAAGCTCATAAATTCAAAGACCAAGAAAAGCAGGAATTTAATGTATTACCAATTAAAAGAGGTATAGCAATAGATACAGGTTTGTGTGAAGGCTGAAAGAAAGAAACTTGAGGGAAAAAAAGACAGAAAAATGCGCGTGTGTGTGTGTGTGTGTGTGTGTGTACACATTTATCTTACAGTGACAATGAAATTATCAGTAAAAAATATATAATTAAATGCCCAAGCATGTGTAAACAGGAAATAGGTAATGCACATCTAGACATTATGATTCTAGTTTGCAAACCTTAGGAAGTGGGGTGGTATGAATGGGACATTATTCTTCATTCTTTTTTGTTTGTTTGTTTGTTTGTTTGAGACAGGGTCTCACCACGCAGTTCAGGCTGGCCTTGAGCTCACTTTGTAGCCCAGGCTGGCCTCAAACTCACAATGATCCTCTTGTCTCAGCCTCCCGAGTGCTGGGGTTACAGGCATGAACCACCACACCCGGCTCTCCATTCTTTTTTTACTTGTCATTTTTTGCAAGCTAAAAAACCTTTGCAAGCTAGTCTACTATTTTATTTACTGAACAAAGAACACAAAATGTGTCATTTGAATTTCTGAATGGTTCTGACAAAACTTTAAATTCCTAGTGGTAGCAATTATTTCAATGTTTACTGTAGGCACAACGTTCCCCCTCAAAGTGTGATGAAAGCTGGATGCAAATTCTGCCTGCACCACCACTGCCTGGCTGGTTTTCTGGAAGCATGCCCCAGAGGAGCCTCACTGAAAGACACTTTTACCTTTGGGGCTTCCAGTTTTCCTCCCCAGGGGCTCCTGCCTTCTTCTGAGGGCACAGGATGGAAACCCACTCCCACGCTGGGCCTGCGGGCCGGAGTCACCCACTTCAGTGACTCACTCTTCTCTCTCAACAAAGAGGCCTATCCCTCAGCTCGTCTCTTTCCTTTCCCCCAAACTCTCAGTCCTTGACCTCTTGACCCTCTCTCAATAATCTCACAGGCTTATTTACATTGACAGTAAGTTTACCGGTTCTATTTCATAAAAGCATTTTCTTTGTTTCTCCCTCTCACATAGGAGACAGTGCCTTACCCGGAATAGAATATTGAAATTGTAGACATTTTGGAAAGGTAGCACACTTGTCATTTTTTGACTTTGATCCTAGTTCACAAATCTGTACTGATGCACAAGTTAGTTTCATGCTTAGAACGTTCTCTTGTTCTCCCTGGCCTAGCTGGCAAAATTCTTGTGCATTGCTCAAACCTCCCAAATATAATTTCCATCCACAAAACCTTCCTTGACTCCAGAACTGGGCTGACAGAGGAGCCACTAATCCCTCAGAGGGTTACGAACACTTCAAATGTAACAGCTAAAACTAAGATGTGCTGAAACAAACCAGATTTGTAAGACAGCGTTAAAGAATATAAATGATCCATTGTTATATTGACTGCACGTTGAAATGATTGTATTGTGCATATATTGGATTAAGACCAATGGATCATCAAAATCAGTTTCATGGTTTTGACTTTTTAAGGTGGCTATCTGAAACCTTCAACACACAACTCAGGTCTGTGGCTTCCCTGGATTTCTGTCAGGTAGTGTTCTAAGGTCTAGGTCACTGTATTTTTGGGGGTCTTTTTGTTTTTGTTTTTGGATTTTTGAGACAGTTCTCTCTGTATAGTTCAGGCTGCCCCTGAACTCACTATGTAGCCCAGGCTGGTCTCAAACTTGTGGCAATCTTTTTTCCTCAGCCTCCCGAGTGCTGGCATTACAGGCATGCACTACCACACCCGGCTAGCTCACTGGTTTTTGAACCTATGGAGGGAGCTGGAACACAGGGCTGATTTGTGAGTACATGTCTGTCCCAGTATCTATGGAGTAGCTTTTGGGGATGAAATGATTTATATTTCGGATATGTATCAGTAATATATTTAAGGTAACCTATGAGGAACAGATGTACTAGGCTTTTGGTGTTTCATCCAAGCAGCATTAATCTTTCATCAATTCACTGAAATCCCCATTGCTTCCCCACTCACTCGTAGCCCTGGGGACAAGAACAAAACAAGATGATGATGTATGTAATTTTTTGTTAAGTTGATCAGCCCTACACCAAGCAGACAAAGTAGAATAAGCTCCAGTTAAGCATGAACAACTGTGAGGGGAAAAAGAAGAAAGGAAACTAATATTGTGCTATGCATAGTGCTAAACCATTAGATGGCTCAGCCAGAATTTCATGCATTGTGCTCAGTGGAACTTAGTGGATTCTGAGAAACGTTCATAAACGTTGCGTTCAGGGTGAGGTTCCATGGTCAAATCAGATTGGGAAATGCTAGACTAAACTAAGTTAACCAGCCTTTTAAAAAACTTGGACTTTTTAAAGTCTTTAACACGCTATGAAGTATTGTGCCAGCTCAGACGACAAACACTGAATTCAATGTTCTACAACTTACCTGACCACAGAATTCTTTTTAAGAAATACCCATCAACGTGACTAGTTGGTAAAATCTGTCATAGACGATGTCATTTAATCTACATTTTACAGAGGAGAAAATTGTGCCTTAGGAAGCTAAGTGACTGAACCCATGTTTCAGTGTTATGCAACTGCTTCCTAGGGGAGGCAAAATTTCAAATTCTCATTCACACAAGAAGGAAATAAATGTGACCAGAATAAGGAAATATCATCAGTAAGAATTCACAGTGCATACCGAGATGCACTTTACAATGACTTAGTCCCTTCCTCCCACATATCCCAAGCTCCTCCTTTTCACCTCTACTTGCTTTCTGGTCTCCTTGGACGAAAGCGTCTCCTCTTGTAAATGTCCCGGTATTCCTCCTTTGGATCTAGGCACACATTGCTTTCTTATTTGCTTCCTAGATGCACATACCTTATCTCTCTGAATAAACAAGGGGCTTGCTGTGGAATTACTTTGAAGTCCCTACAGTGTGTCTTGCACAAAGAAAAGGCTTAATAGAACTTTCTCAAGTTATTGATTATCAGCTTGCTGGCTTAGCTACTAATAGCTTATGGTGTCTCTTTACAATATCTAAATGGTGCAGAAAAATTGGCTCTTGGTTCAGAGACATCATGTGTTCAATGAGCTTCCAACTGTGTATCAGACTGCTTGCTGTTGGACGCTGGCCTACCTGTAAAATGCAACTCATGATATCAGATGCAATTTTTGCATGAGGAGTATCTTCGTCTTTGCCAGAGGGTCTTAGGTTGTGTTCCAAGCAGGAGTCCCAGAGCCCCACAAGGGCCTTGGCATGCTTTTCAATGGATTCTGTCTCTCTGATGGCTGTTGTGATTCTTGTGATACAGATTTCAACCACAGCCTGGTCGTTGTTATTGGTTTGGTAATCCTATTTGGAAAGAGAACCTTCATGTTAAATAATGCTCTGGAAAGTTATCCTTCCAAGGATGAAACACTAGCTGGGTCATTTAGAAAACAGGTATGCCATACACTGTGCTATGGGTTGAGGTTGTAGAGGTCAATACAATAACGGCCTTCTTCCTTGGAAATAGTAATCTTGTGGAAAAGGGAGACGTGCAAACACACAAAAGTGGAGAAAGCTCATAACATCACCAGTAGCAGGACACAGGGAGAGTTCAAAGGAGCTCAATTATGCATAGTGGGTTTAATCGGAAGGCCACTTCAGGTTCTACATTCATTGCATTGGTGAAGGGATACTTTTTAGTCTAACATTTCAGTAACATTTATGAAGTTTTACAAATTACTTTCCAATGTCCCCTCATTTTCTCTCTGTTTTGGAACACACTAGAAAGTATCATTTCATTTCTCCTTTTTCAACTCAAATTTGGCTTTCCCCCACCAAATTTGCCTCCATTTCTCTATTTAAATTCTCTCCTAATACTTCATCATCCTTACTGAGGAATAATATACCATCTAAAATATCTAAACGTTAAAACAAAAGGCCTGTCACTTTAATTTGGAAAATAGGTCTGTGGACTCCACGTGGCTGACTCACAAAACTGAAAATTTAATAGAAGAGCAAACTGTTAGGTCCTTACATTATGTACAATTAGAGATGAGGGGTGTTGGGGTTTTCTGTCCATCTGTAAGCTGTTGCTTTTAATTTTTTCTTTTTTAACTACTAGGACATATGGGCCATTAAACATCTTGTGCATGATTCTCTCTCTAAATTGTAGGTTGTTTGTAGCCTGGATTCTCCAGAAGTGGAAATTTCTGCCATAAAGGACGGGAATATTTTCAAGGCTCATGATATATTGTTTTAGAAAGATCTTACTAATTTTTACTCTGGTCAGCTATGTGAAAGCATGGTTTCCCCCCTGTGCCTTTCAAAGAACATAGTATTTTTAAATTTTTGCTAAGTCAATTAGGGAAAAACAATATCTAATTGCTATTTTATGTGGAAATTTCTTTGACCCAAAGTGAGGTGAAATACTTTCACCTGTTCATTGGCCACTTGTAATTCCTCTTTTGAGAATTGTGACTATGTCTTATCTCTGCTTTTTTCTTTTCCTTAGATGACTTCATTTTGTTTTTGATCCTCTTTGCTGCAGTATCTTTTTTCAATTAAGGTTATTAGATTAACATTTGACATTTGGGTTGCTAATATGTCTGCATGTTTATTGTTTTATTTTAATCTTTTGCTGCTGTTTATTGACATGGTAAGATTTTAGATAGTCAAATCTATTAATCTTTTGAGTTGTTACCATTTTTCTTCTTTTAAATTGGAGATTTAAGTTGTTTAAATTATTTATTGATTTCAGTGTTAATACAATGACATAGCGCCAGCTGAGGACAGTGGCGTGGGACTGTAATCCCAGACTCAGGGCTCTGAGGCAGGAAGATTTCTGTATGTTTGAGGCCAGCCTTGGCCACATAAGGAGTTCAAGGCCAGCATGAACTGCACAGTGAGATCCTGTCTCAAAAAAACAAAAGTGAAAATCAAAACCAAAGAAAAAGATATAGTACAAAGATGAAAAAGACACAAGAACTGGTGTATAGTGAAATCTCAGTGTCCCTTTAAAGCTGGTGTCTCATCTCCCCAGCTCCCTTCCCGGGCAGAAACCAGGCTTGCCAAGTCTTTTTGTGTTTTACGGTGGTATGCTAAGCGTATGTACAAGTCACCCCCATAGTCTTTCTTTCTATGTGATCTCTTTGACAACTTCTTTTAAAATTTTTATTTTAAAGAAAATGAAACAAAAAACAAAGAAAATAAATAAAAAAGATTCCAAAACAATATGATAGGAGGGTGACAGTGGTTAATACATTGCATATCGTTACCCTTAAGTTAGTTACTCAGAGTACGAGATATCAGAATTTAATTGTCCAAACAATATTAGCACAAACCTATCTTTCAAATGAACTGAGAGAAATTAGTAGCATAACTATTTGGACTATCCCTAAACCACTTTCTCTTTCCTTTGAAGTTTCTTACCATTTCACAATATCTACTGTACATTTTAGATCACATTTACTCTTCCAGTTTCTCACACTAGGGAGACAATACAACGTTTACACATTGCTGTCTGGTTTATTCCACTTAGGAGTTTGGACTCAAGTTGCATCCATTTACCTATAAAATTTTTTTTCTGTTCTTTAAAAATCTTTTGCTGGGGCTGGGGATTTAGCTCCTCGGCACAGCGCCTGCCTGGCAAGTGCAAGGTCGTGAGTTCGATTCCCGGCACCGGAAAAAAAACAAACAAAAAAATCTTTTGCCAAACATTTAACATTTACTGTTTTAGAAATTGATCTTTTAACCATTCATTTAGTTTTTAAATCTATTTGGTATTTATGAAAGTAAAGGTGTATGTTTTCTTCTAAATAGCTAATTTAATGTTGCAGCCATTTTTACTGAAAAATTCATTTCCAGGTAATTGTTTTATATACGTGAGTTTCCATTGTAAATCTTGTCCTTTCCATTTGCTTGTTCCTTTTCTCAATTCTTCCACAGTACTAATTTTGCCATTTTCTTTATGTAAGTTCCACGAAATTTTAAGGGTGCTTCTTAATATATTTTATGTTTGTTGCTTAATATAGTTTGCTGTTGTTGCTTCCTCACAAAATCTTTCTCCCTTTCATTAGGACTTCAAGTTAGCTACTGCTGAGTAAGTGAACTTACTGCTTGTGTTGCTTTCTTTGTTTTCCGGTGGAGGGGATGGAGCCCAGTGCCTGTACAGGCTGGGCACAGTCTTTTCCTCAGAGCTACAACCACTAGGCCCCCCACTGCTTTTTGTAGTTACTTTGCACCCAGCTCTTTAGCTCGATTCTCAATTATGCTACAGTTTCAAATCAGTCTCTTGGGTTTTCTGGAAAGATTTCTTTTTGTATTTTATGCAGCCTTGGTGAGGTCTATCCATACCTTTTAATATATCTCAATACTTATTTTGTTGGCTAGAATTTCTTGAGTTATTTCTTCACATAAAGTGATTAGACCAAGAATGTTGGCTTAGTTCCTGGTTTTTATCATAAAGTTTTATGGCTCAAAGAAAGAAAATAAAGTAAATGCTTTAAATCATATAGGGTGCATCACGTATGCATCATAATATGTAAACTTCTCCAAGTTTATTTATTGATAATTTCCTTAGGAAGCATTATGCTGGATTGTTGCAGTAAGACAAATATTTTATAATATTTTAATAATTTATAATGTTAAGGAAGTATCAGTCCACTTCTATTTTATGGTGTGGGGGTTGGAGATGTGGCTCAGTGCTAGAGTACTTGCCGGGCATATAAAAGGCTCTGGGTTCAATCCTCAGGACCACAAAAGAAAAAAGAAGAACAAAGAATGACTGGAAAATTTCATTAAATGCCTTTTTTAGTGTCTATATATATACATCGTTTTTGTCCTTAGAGTTATAACTGTGATAAATTATAGATGCAAATTTCCTAATTTCAGTGAACTTTGCACTCCTTGAATATATCTTATTGGGTCCTGGGAAATCAATTTTTAATGTGCTGTTGGATTCTGCTTTTAATATTTTATTTATTTTTTTGTGCCAATATTTGGTTTTTATGTCAGTCAAATTTCATTCAATTTATATTAATTTCCTAATAAGATTTGGAAGATTTATGCTCTCTATAACCTTACTTGTTTAAAATGAAAAGTGTCACAGCTCAGAGAAGTGAATTAAAATTTTCTGCAACTAATGTGTCTATTTTTCCTATTTCTTGTAGTTTTTGTTTTATGAGTACTGTTGTTATGAAATTTGATGTGTAAGTATCCCTAAGCTTTATAATTCTTGTGACCCAAATTCCTCTAGCATAAAAATACCTTTTTGCTCTTATTTAAGACATTTTAAGATGAACTTTTTCCTGTCTCATATAACGACCATGATTTCTGCTTCTTTTGTTTGTGTTTGCCTAGTGTTATTTTCTCATTTCATTCTTATTTTTAAAATTTCTTTTACAGCCTATGTTGCATCAAATGAATGGCCATTACTCTTTTTATATAAATTGGTAAAAAAAAGTAGCTTAGTGGCCATTATTCAATGATTATTAATAGTAAAGTCAATATCTAGTATGTGATGTATACAAAATAACATGATATTATGTGATGTATAAAAAACTAAATGGTATCATTTGATTAATCATTTAATTTCAAACTATTCTATCATAATCAACAAGTTAAGCATAATGGGGCTACAGGTAGACTCAACAGATCTGCGTTTGAAAACAGAGGGTCCTGTCTTAGCAAATAAGTGGGAAGATTGTCTTTAATAATATTTAGGAGGAAAAAAATGTTTTGACTCAGCACTGATTTTCTCTTAAGGTATCCTTTCTTGTGCTTTAGGTAGTAATTTGGTATGGTATAAAAATAATAGCTTTTAAATTAAGTCTGCATATGTCATATCATTTCACTTTAAAATACTTCAGCTTCATTTGAGTATCAAAAGAAACTTTCCATATAAAATAAACTTATTATGTAGCTAAAGTGGATGATATTAGATACTGGTATGCACACTGGCTACATCCTCCATCCAGACAGAACAAAGACACTCATCTCCTCATCTGCAGAAGCTGTCCTTGGTCAAAAGGAATGGCCTCATTCAATGCCTTCTTCTTCCTTTGGGATGGTCGGCATCCAATGACTAGTCCATGTGGGGGCAGGAAGGCCTGTTCACTCATCTTAGATGAACTCTGAAGGGTCATCCTACTTCCAGAGCATCCTATGAGACTAAGCTAGGCTTTTCTCACAACTGCCTTTCAGGTCAACTTCTCCCTCTGCCCAACTCTTCTTCGTCCACTCCCCTAAGGTATTGTTTCTAAGAAATATCCTGCATGGTAACCACCATTGCAGACTGTTTTTCTAGGAGCCCAATTACAACAGAGTTTATACTGGTAACGTTGAGGAACATAGTAAACAATATAACA